ATACCGCCTCCGAACAACCGCCATTTCGGCCCATACATGGATTGATGAATTTGAAGTCTCCAGCTAACAACCTCTATTGACTGAAGACTTAGGGGACTACACTATGTACCACATATTGGGCCTCAGAAAAAATACTTAGGGGACTTGGCCATTATTTATGTATTGAGGAGCGAGTCTCTTATTCTATAAAAGGAACTTCCTCACTTTCATTAGAGAGCACTCATAAAAAATACTTGGGGGACTTAGCCCATTATTTATGTATTGAGGAGCGAGCCCTTATTCTATAAAAGGGACTCCCTCACCTTCAACGCCATAAGCCGAGCCAACCAAGGCAACATAAGTCACAAGCCGAGCCAACCAAGGCAACATAAGCCACAAGCCGAGCAACCTCGCAACATGTGCTACTTCTAGTTGAGCATCATTTCACATTGAGCACCGCCTCATATCAAATATCAGTTTTAGACGACATCTAATTACTTTGGCCCACACATGGACTGAATTTCAAGTCTCCAGCCAAAAGACTCTTGACTGAAGGCTTGGGGGACTACTGTTTGTACCATACTTAAGGCCTCCATATTTAGATCTTGTATAAATACCCGGGACTTAAATGTAATTATGTAATAAAGGAAGGGGCAATTATGTAATAAGTGAGGAGCCCTTATTCTATAAAAGGGACTCCTCACCCTCACAATTGAGGAGAGCCTCACATCCCCTCTCATATATTTAGAGAAGCTCATCCTCACATAAGGAAGCTCTCTCTCCCTCTCAATCCTCTCACAAACAGAGAAATACAATATCAGTGTGGATGTAGCCCAAACATTGGGATGAACCACGATACATCTTGTGTTATTTACTTTCTTGCAGATTCATGGTCGGATTTACGTTGTTCCAAGACCCCTCCGGTTTTGTGCATCAACAATGTCCTTAATTGGCTAACAGAGATAAAAACAAGGACCAAATTGGTCAAATTGAAAACACATGGACTTTATTAACCCAATGACTAAAACACATGGATCATTTTAATATTTAAGCCTTTAGAAAATAAAAACCCAAAATTAGTATATTCATGAAATTTTTGCAACTTCTAAACTTTTTTTTTGTACAAACAATGTTATCTACATTAAGGGGGTGTGAGAGTGTGATAAGCCTCACAACGGCCTAGAAATAATATGGTTCAAATTTGCGTTTGATGAGAATCGGACCTAAAAATAGAAATATATGACACAAATTTTAGCCATAAGTAGTATTCCTCTTTATTTGTAAGTGAGAGGTTTTAGCTTTGATTCTCGCCAAAAACAAATTTGAACCACATTAGTGCTAGCCCATTTTGAGACTTAGCCCACGTACCATCCCCTTAGTGTAGATAATATCGTTTGTTAAAAAAAATATAAATATACCAAATGTAATGTTTTTTAACACTACGTAGATATATTTGGAAGATAAAGTTTAAATATGCTAACATGTAAATATATTATTATTATTAAAATAATAATGTGAATAAAAATCAAAGAACCTTGATCAATAACTAAAAAGAAATAATGTTTCAATCAATGAAATAAAAAAATGAGGAATGAAAACTTAATTTCTCTTAAAAAAAATTAGATTTAGAATTCAAAACCCTCTCTAATGTAACCAAACGTATCAAATATTATTGGCTTGGGTAAGGCATGTCAATTATTGTAGGGGCAACGTGAATCATGTAGAATCAGATCATCCATCTTTATTTGGTAATAAAGTGGTTAAGTATATTATTTAGATTAAATAATGTTATCATATCCTCTAAATAGAATGCTTCGTTCAAAATAAAAAATATATCCTCTAAATAGAATGCAATTGTAGATGGTGCAGAGTAGGAATTTTATGTGCGATGGGGACCATTGACAGGCCATATGATACAAAAGAAAAGATAAGAAAATAATCGAATCTTTCAAATTTGACAATGTTTAGAAAAATACAAGACACAAAACAATTGTTTACTCAATCGTGTATGTAGAGAACGGATAAGGATCCTCTTGGATCTCCTTTGTGAGGATCTTAGGAATCTTCACATTTTAATTGTTCATCATATATCGTACTGTCAATTTTCGTTAGATACTATTTATGTTTACTTTTAAATAAAAATTTCAAAATAATTTCTAACCACACAATATACGATGAACAGTTAAAATGTAAGGATCTTTAAAATCTTCACAATTTATATCTGAGATCCAAATCCCTAAGGGATAGTACTCATCATTCTTTCAAATGTCAGAACGTCATTTATGATTGACTTTGACATTTGACAGAATGTCAAAATAAAGAAGATTTTTAACAGAATGATTAAAATGATTGACAATGAAACAATTTCAGAAATCATTTTCTATCGATTTTAAATTTTATAGATGATGAACAATCTTAGTAACCATTTTAGCTAAAAAATTCATAAAAAAAAATGGTTGTGGAATTTAACTTGATTTTCTGTGCGGCTGCCATGCAGTCATTCCTGGTGATTTTTGGGGGTCAGGTATATACAGGTAAAAATAAGGTCACCATTTCAATTGGAAAAACCTAAGTTATTAAATATAAAGTAAACTTGTTATAAGTTCAATTTGTGAGTCATTGTTAGGTTTAATCCACTTTCTTGAGTTAGGTCAATTCATTGATTATTCAGCATTCACATCAGATTATTTTTTAATTATCTTTTCATTAAATTGTGATAAATATCATCCTTTATATATACAAGCAATCGGCACACACGTTATACATGTGCAAATCAACTTTCTTCTCATTGTGATATGAGTTATAATTAATGTGCAATGTAAACGTCGTTTCGAAAAGAAAATCTTTTCATTGTGGTATGAGTTACATAACTTATGGAAAACAAATTACTAACATTAGTGAAATAAAACCAAACTCATGAGTTAAGTAATAATTTGCAAGGGGGGAAAATGCAGAGGATGTGGGAAGAAGTTGTTGGGTGGTGGGTTTGGTGGAGGGCGATTAGGGTTTTGGGAGGAGAGGAAGAGCCTACATAATTTGCAGGTGGATTAGAGACAGGCGGGGTAAGAGAAGGGGATGAAGGAGGTGGGGTGGTTAGAGCGATTGAAGAGGTTTTGGCAAGAAAGATGCTGAGAGAAGCCGAAGATAGTTGATGAGAAAGAAGGCTGTGTGCCAATTTTTCAATTTAATTTTGGATTTTTAAATGTTTGTATTTATTACCTGGTTGTGAGGTTCACATAAAAAATAATAAAATTTGTTGTGATACTATATAACACTACTAAATTGCTCATATTTTTATTTCTGTTCAATTTTAATTAGAGGGTTAGAGTGATAATTTTATAGAGATTTTGATTGATAACCAGAGTTTTATTAATATATGTAGTTTAGATATTTATCTTTTACACAATTTTAGAATTAAATATAAGAATTAAATTAAAATATTGTATCTCATTCATAGATCTCAAGAGCAATTCATGATTTTGCTCAAAATCCCCCCGGAGTAGGAGATATTTTTCAATGTGCCCAGAATATGGGTGGTACACCACGTGTTATTATACAAGTAGTGAAATACTTGTGTTAAAAAATTAACAACTTAAAAAATAAAACTTCCTATATTCCGAGCACAACGAAAAATTTCTCGGGGGAGAAGGCCATGGGTAGTCCACACACAGCTCCTCTATTGGTGCAGGAGAGATTTTGAAACCGACTGATGTCACAGCCCGTCCACGGGAAAATAAATTTTGTTGACGTAAATTGATGAAATTGCCCATGGACGTTAAATAGTGTGATGTGGTTTAAGTGTTATTTTTGGGTCAATATTCTTAAATCCTAATCGTTTGGAACCAATTAGGATTAAGTTATTATGTATTTTGGTTGTTTGACCAATCCTAGGCCACACACACATCCTCTATCTTCCTTCCCGTGCTCTCTCTCTCTCTCTCTCTCTCTCTCTCTCAGACTCACTATCTCTCCTCTCTTGTACGGACGTCACCCAAAACCCTTTGAAACGTGACAGATCGAGGGACTTAAGCACACCATTGTGTTCGTGAAGCTCAGACGAATCGATTGGTACACCATTTATAGATAAGGAATCCTCTGATTTTCACGTCGAACCATGAACCACCGATTTTGTCACTGTTCATGCATACGTGAAATATTGTTTTTCAGGGAATTTGAAGCTTATAGGAAGCTTAAGGAGGTACTCGCGAGTCTCGGGGGCTGAGATCGACGTGTATCTAGGTAAGCCAAACTATCGAGCTTTCTCGAGGAAAACCTAGTGAATTTTAAGCCTTGTGAAACTTATATAACGTGATTCTACATGTTATTAGCTTCATTTTGGTACCAATTTTGTGGAAAATGGTGAAGAAATGAAGAAGAATAAGCGTTTTAAAGATTTACCCAGTTTCCGGCGCCGACGACGGTAGCTGGAGATTCAATGGTAGGGATGACGAAATATTCTGTCAACTTTGACGAAATATTCCAACGCCTTAATTAGTTTGGACAGATTCTGTTAGGACTTAACGGAATATTCTCGGTATATACCTGAGGGCGTTGACTGACGCCGTTAGTACGCTTGTCATGTGGCCGCATGTGGGGGCGCGTATTGCCGTGCCTTGGCCGGCGCGTGGGTGGTCAGAAAATTATTCTAAAAATATGGGGATGTTCGTGGAGTTGTGTAGATCACATTGGTATATTCAAACACCCCATTTGAGCATTGTATGAGAAGTTATTAGATAGTTTTGTCTATATGCTCTAAAATAACGTTTTTATAGTTAATTCGCATATAGGTGGACTTATCTCGGAGGACGAGCGTGTTCAAGGGCGACTCAGGGGCTACGACCCTTCGTACCAGTGAGTGGCCTTTGGTTTCAGATAATATTATATACTTGATATTTCCCCAAATTTGTTTAATGAAGTATGCATAAATGCATGCATATGAGTTTATAATTTGTTTGAATTGGTATAAGAAATTATATAATTTTGGTGTTGTAAGCTCAGGTAAGTTTCGGTATTTATGTAAATTACATATTTAATTGCGTCGTCTTCCAGCAATTTGCAGTAATTTTGATCGTTGGTTCGGTTAGAAATGGAGCTGGAGCAGCACCGACCCGGCAACCCGGCGATGACCTTCGACGAGGTCTCCATGGAGCGCAGCAAGAGCTTCGTCAAGGCCCTGCAGGTTCGATCTTGGGACTGGATCTGAAGTTGATTTCGTTTCAAATTGATTGGCTTGTTGCATTTTATGAATTGGTTGATTGAATTTATGAATTGATCGAATTTGTGGGGTTTCGGATGATTTAGCTTGAAAGTTAAAAATCTGTTGGGTGTTTATGTTTCCGAGAATAATGATTAGCAATGAATTTTGAGCTGTTAATGCCAAGCATTTGTTAAGGAAGTTGAGTTCTTTATGGTAGCTACTGTTGCATTGGTAATGCTATTTAAATTCTCTGAATTGGGCAATATGTAGCTGTACTGGTTTTATGTAAACCAATGGATGTAGCGCAAAGCCTTTTCTTGTTCCAACTTCAGAGGGTTTGTGTTAAGAACGTCGTTTGAAATTATACGGTTTTGCGGTTTGAAGAGAAAAAATAGGGCATTTTTGTAATGGTTGGATCCTCATAGTCTGTTTGCTATGTCTATCTCAGGAACTCAAGAACTTAAGGCCTCAGCTTTATTCTGCAGCGGAATATTGCGAAAAGTCCTATCTTCATAGCGAACAGAAACAAATGTAAGGATCTTTGTTTTACTGGGTTGGAGAAATGTTGGTAAAACTTGCCTGTGCAAGTGTCTGAGAAGGGGGATGATGTGATACTCCAGCATGTCATGCATATCTGGATGCTTTATCATTGCTTGTTTGATTCTCGGTTTTACCGGGAATTCTATGCTCCATTGCTTGCTGGCATTGATTTTAAATTTATGCATCAGGGTACTGGATAACCTGAAAGATTATGCTGTACGGGCCCTTGTTAATGCCGTTGATCACCTTGGCACTGTGGCTTACAAGTTAACTGACCTTCTTGATCAGCAAACCTCAGACGTCTCAACCATGGATCTGAAAGTTACTTGCCTAAATCAGGTGAGGTTTCAAATTTCTGTACGCTGGAATAGAGAGCGTATCAAATAGATAGAGGTTATCCTAACAAACTTCATTTCTCAATGTAGAAACTTCTTACATGTCAAACATACATGGATAAAGAAGGGTCGAGGCAGCATCAGTTGTTGGCCTTCATTCCGAGACATCACAAGCACTACATTTTACCAAGTAAGACACAATATTGTCAACTTCTTGTTAGAGTTGCCCTGTTTGTGATGAGATTTTTTACATCTATTTCCATTTCTCTCCTTGCTAGATTCCATGAATAAGAAGGTACATTTTAGTCCACATGTACAGACTGACACTAGGCAACATCCTTATCAAGCAAGAGCACATCTTCAGTTTTCAAGTATGTCACGTTCCGTTGGATGCTTGCTTATGACTTATGAGTCCACTTTTCATTGGGCGATTAAGCTTTTCTAGTTTATGGCATTTGATTGTACAAGTTCTTATTGTGCACAAGTAATGAGTTTGGCGTTTCAACAATGTGTAACATTTAGGCGCTGCTGCATCAAAAACTCTTTCTTGGCATTTAGCTTCAGAAACGAACTCAACCTTGAAGGGGACTCCACAGGCTCAGACTAGGTAATTCCTATGAGAAACAAGAATCTTGCATATGGTTTCGCTGTGCTTGGTACAAACTTGTTTTTGTTGGTTATCTATTGCGCCTGATACTTCTAAGAAAGCTTAAATGTTTTGGGATATTTACCTTTGTGCAGCATTGGAGACACAAAAATTTCCGTTAACACTGCTGGTGTTTTCCAGCTTGTAGGTATGTTGAATTGGAAAGTTACGTCATCATATCACCTAGCCGCGAATAGATAAGTTTTACTAGAGAAATGATAGTTCTTTATGCTTCGACTAATTTGAATGCAGAAAATGAAGAAGGGAGTGCCTCTAAATCCTTGGCAACTCAGCTTCAGCAACCAAGTGGATTACCTACTTCTGGCGGGGTTAAGCAAACATTGGGTCCTGGACACAGGGTAGAGTGATCATGTCCTCCAAGTTCTGATCTCCGTATTACAGAAGATGGAAAATTTGAAAGCTGATGAGAAGTTATTTTCCTTGCAGGAAGCAGTAGATGGTTCGAAACCAATGACGGCGTTCAGGTCATTTGAGAACCCAAGACGGGACACAGTGCGTGTCCCTGTTCGCAGCAAAAGTGTGCTATCAGCGTTCTTTGCCAAACAGAAATCGAATAAGCTGCAGGCTGGATCCGTCTCGTGAGACCTCATTAAAACAAACAAGTTAAAGATGCTGACACCCACATTGTGTGGGTCAATTTGCCTGTAAATCCCCTTGGCCGTTAGTTTATCAATTGCTTGAAATCAAAATTCTTGTTTCTTTTTTCCCCGGGCTGCTTAATAACGAGCAAATTGTGCACAGAAGTCCCTGTAATGAAGTGGTTGGGGAACTGTCTAGTTGTAGAATGCTGCACCTCATAATTATCTCATTGGTTTCTGGTATCTTACTGAATTATCCGCTTTTAGGCTAGACTACGTCTAAAGATGTGTTTGATTGACCGGTTTTTCTATTTGTTGGTTGGTCATACTCATGGTCTAAAATATTCATAATATCCTGATATTTCCATCGAAATTTTCATGTTTTTGAACTACCGATATTGTTTTGGACTACCGATATTTCCGATATCATTGATATTTTAGACTTTGCTAAGTCACTGATGTATCTTATCATGCAATGTATAAAGTGTAAAATATTGTACTAATTCATTATATATAAATGATTATGGTGTGTTTAAACTTCTTTCATTAATTACTACATATTTTTTATACTCAAAATGTTTGCCAGCTCGCTATATAATCAACTTAAATCAGTTATATCTATCATGCAATGCATTTCTTTCCAATTTTTTGTGATAAACTAATAGATAATTGACTAAATAAATATCATGCAAAGTTTCAATAAAAATTTCCAAGTTTTTCTTACAATTTTCGTGGTTTTTATTCAATTTTTATCGATATCGATAATATCCCGATATTTCTATCGAAATTTTCATGTTTTTGTATTACCGATATTTTCGATATCATCGATATTTTATCCTTTGATCATACTTTTGTCAAGCATGTTATACGAAGAACGTAAGCTAAAATGTTCAGTAACAGTTGGGATCTATATTTTCGTGAAATGTGTCACACGGATGACTTGATTAATCACATGTACTAAAAATTTTCCCATCATTCACAAACCCACTCGTGAAACTTCTTCCTTTCCCCACCAGGCTGGGTGACATTAAGGAAACGACTTACCCCACCAAGCTGGGTGACATTAAGCAAACGACTTGTCGTTTGATGAATCAGATTCGAACACCGACAACAGATCGGCACCTCTAAATCCAAAACGACACCGAAGCAAACTCCTCCTCCTCAGAGGCTCAAAGCTTTGATCTGCTCGTTTTTAACCACCACACTCCGACTGAGAGACACTCCGATCACTCGATCAGCGCCACCATCCTTCTTACTTTTCACATCCTGATTAAATTTCGATAATTTCAACAATCTAACTCAATTTTCAATTCCAAACTGCAAAATCCATCCAAAGTTTGCATCTTTACATCCAAAACCAGAAGCTTCTGCATAAACAAAATCCAATTTTCACACTTTCCCCATCGAATTTCAGCAATTTCCGAAAACCCCATCTCAAAATCTCACTCTACAATCAACCCCAACTCATAAATTTCTCTACAACAATGTCCTCCTTCTTGTACCAAAGACCAATCCACAACCCGCTTTCGGATCCGTACCCGATTTCCCCGCGCTCCTCCACCAATTCCCAAAAACCCTACTCGATCTTCAGCCCCACGACCCTCCTGGTCCTCCTCTCGCTCCTGGTGGTGATGGGCGTCTTCTTCCCCTGGGTGGGCATGCGGGAGAGCTTCTTCTCGGACACCACCAGGCCCTCGACCGCCAAGTGGCGGGACTACACGTTGGCTCAGGCGGCGGAGTTTGTGGCCCGGAACGGGACGGTGATTGTTTGCGCTGTGAGCCAGCCGTACTTGCCGTTTTTGAACAACTGGTTGATCAGTATTACAAGGCAGAAGCACCAGGACAAGGTGCTTGTGATTGCTGAAGACTATGCCACGCTTTATAAGGTCAATGAGCGGTGGCCTGGCCACGCCGTCCTGGTTCCACCTGCACCGGATGCTCAGACTGCCCATAAGTTTGGTTCTCAGGTATAATTGCTGATTCTTGCATCTGGGTTTGGCTTGATTTGTAGTTACATTGGAGTTTTAGCTTATAGTTGGGATTGTTAAAGTTGGTTCATTGAAATAATTGCTAGTTGATTTTGTTCTAATGTTGCGATGCTCAAGTTTTGCTTGTGCAGTTGAGGTTCTGTTTTCGGGTTTTAATTTGATGTTCGAATTTCATTGATCATTACATTGAAGTAATACTAATGCACTAATATCATTTCCCTTCAATATATGGCGTGGAATACTAGTGTTTCTTCCTGTCACATCATTAGCACAATGAAGAATTAGATATGCAAATTTCATTGATCATTGAAATGTTAATTTTTTAATGTATTGTTCTGTTTGCTTCCCGCCCTCACTTAACACGAACTGCCTAAGTTCTTGTTACTTAAACTTCTAAAGAATTGAACTTATCAGGTTTTAGCTCCAGTACATTGTTTCCCCCCTCAATTCTGCTTTATTGCCCTTTGGTTTCGATTGCTTCTCTTGGTGTTTATGTTTGTTCTGTGAACCTGCACATGATGATTAGAACTGTTTGTTTTCATGAACTGTTGACTTATTGCCTTTCAAAAGTGATTTTGATTGGTTTCCTAGTGTAGGGATTCTTCAACTTTACTTCCCGAAGGCCGCGACACCTATTGCAGATTTTGGAGCTTGGATACAATGTTATGTACAATGATGTTGATATGGTGTGGTTGGCTGATCCGTTTCCCTATTTCCAAGGAAACCATGATGTGTATTTCACAGATGACATGACCCCAGTAAGTACACCTAATTTTGGTTTTTAGCTACTTGATGTGCTTAATTAGGAACAGATGCTAGCATGTGCTGTCCTAAATTTCATGTTCATCAGACACCGGGAGGTGTGGTCAGCACAAACTTGATTATTAGTAAAACATAACCTTAAACTTTCCTTAATTTTTCCTTACACAATAAGGGAAACTTTCAATTTTGTGTGTTCTTCGGTGGATGTGAGGCTTTGGGTATTGAGTGGATATATGGTGGTATATTTTGGCACCAGTTAAATACAGAAAGTGACTGCCAAAATCTCTATTTAATTTGTCGTTAGACCCTGCTCGCTGCTGTATGTCTAAAAACTAAAATATATCAGATAACGGTGTTCTAGTGGTAGCAGTTCTTGGTATTTTTCATTTGGAGTCTGCAGTCTAGTCTAATGCTGCAGATATATCTGCACTTTTGTTATGTTTACAAGTGATAATTCTTCTATTTTGGCGACCAGGTCAAACCTCTGAACCACTCTCACGATCTGCCACCTCCAGGAAAGAAAGGACGCACTTATATATGCAGCTGTATGATTTTTCTACGTCCAACCAGCGGAGCAAAGCTAGTTATGAAGAAGTGGATCGAGGAACTTAAAGATCAACCATGGTCCAGAGAGAAAAAAGCAAATGATCAACCTGCTTTTAATTGGGCATTAGACAAACTTGTTAACAAAGTATGTTCACTTTGAAAGTTGTGCTTGATATACCTTGACAAATTATTTAGATCCTTTGAGTGATTATGTTTATAATTTTCTGCAGGTGGATCTCTACCTGCTGCCACAGGCAGCATTCCCAACTGGAGGATTATACTTTAAGAACAAGACGTGGGTGCGAGAAACTAAAGGGATGCATGTCATAATTCACAATAATTATATCCTGGGTTTTGAGAAGAAGATAAAACGCTTCCATGATTATGATCTATGGCTGGTCGATGATCACGCGGATGAGTCTCCTCTTGGGAGAATATGAGATTGAATGACATGATCAATATTTGTTTCCATAGAAGCTCAGCTGTATCGATGCCTGCAGGAAATGCTTCCTACGAATTCGTGTGACCTTCGAGCCCGGTGGGTATTTGTAAGAGACTTGGAAAGGGAAGGGAATGTGGTGTTGTTGGCTCAACTAGTTGTACAAACATTACCTCATGCCTCCCCTTGATCTCCTTTACACACATTATTTGTTGGAATTCAATTACAAATAGAGACTGAGCTTTTGATTGTTTCCCAAAAGAAGGAATGGATGCTTTGCACTCGGAGTCAAATTTTGTCAATTTACTTGGAAAGGAACCTTTTAAGCCACTAGTATAAAATATGAGTTTAGGGCACAGTATTATTCAGAAATTTCCAAATCAAGAACAATAATTGAGATTGTGTCAAGTGGTAATGTAATGGAGTGGTATAAAAGTAAACAAAATCTCAGAAGGGGAAAACTTTTCTTATATATATAGGAAATCTTTAAGGGAAGAGATTCTCATTTTTTTTTATAAAAATGGCGATTAGTTGTGGGGTTCACACTACATCGAATTTTAATGATCCGAACTGTCCATTTTTCAAGTTACATCTCATAGATCATCTTTACAAAATATTAGCCAAATTGGAAATGTTTAAGACATCTAATTAGATTCAAAGAAATTAACAAATACTTTGTTATATAAGAAACAATGAAATTTTATTTTGATAATTAAATAGGCAAATGGTTTCAGATTGAATTGAATTGAATTTTTGTAAGGATGATCTATGAATCGAGACTTACAAAATAGACGTTCAAATCGTTGAAGTTCGATGTGGAGTGAGTATCACACATAATCTCTATTTTTTTGACCCTTCGTATAAAGGAAGGGCGCGCGCGATGTGGAGTGAGTATCACACATAATCTCTATTTTTTTGACCCTTCGTATAAAGGAAGGGCGCGCGCGCGCGCGCACATACACACATATATATATATATATGGATAATGCTACTACACATTTATTTTTATAAGTCACACACTATTATTAACTTTTGATAATTTATTTTCTTCATTTCATTCGATTCGAGGTCGGCATGAGAGATGTAAAAATAAGTGTGAACTGTGTATGCATATGTCAGTCAGACAGCTTACAAGGCATCCCTATTTTTGAAAAAAATGAGATTATTTGTGGGGTTTAAACGACATCAAACTTTAAAAATTTGAACCGTCTACTTTTTATGTTGCAAATCATAGACAATTCTTGTAAAATATTAGCCCAATCGAAAATATTTAAGACATCTAATTGAGCTCAAAGAAATTGACGAACAATATGGTCTAAGAAACATTGAAATTTCATTGTGACAATTGAATGGCAAATGATTTTGAATTGTATTGAATTTTTACAAGAATGATCTATAAATCAAGATTTACAATATAAACAGTTTAAATCGTTGAAATTCGATGTAGAATAAATTCCATAACTAATCCCTATATTTATCCCTCCCCTATAAAAGGCCCTATATATCATGGGATTTGGATCCTCTCCTGAGCAAGGGAGACGGATCCTCTCCTGAGCAAGGGAGACGGATC